TTTCTGAAAAAAATAATACTATTGGGATAATCCCCATGACATTTTCAAATATACAACTATAAATCACAATTTATTTACACATCAATTTTATCACCACCACCCTTGGCTTTAGAATCAATAAATTGTTTCATTTCCCTTCGAAATTTATTTTCTTGAATAAACTTGTCATCTATTTCAAATTCTTCAAATACACAACGTAATTTTTCTTCATCATATTTACTTTTGAGACATTTTAGAAATAAAGATTCTCTAATATTAACATTTACATAACCACAAAGATATATAATATATTCACATCCCAAATCACTTAAAAAACTCTCGTAAAATATTATGCTCATGATATTGTTGTTAGTAGAGATAGTTTTGATTAAAGTTTTGATAATGTTCCCAATTTGTTGATTGAAAATTTTAGAAACTAAATTAACAGAATGCCCGTTGATTTTCATTATATCTTTGTGTAAAAGATCAAAAATAATAAGTGCGGCATTCTTTGAAATATCTATGTCGTTTAATTTATCAAATAAAATTTTATAATCTACTGATGAATTATAAAACTTTATAAAATCATGAAGAGCTACAATTGAATTCATCTTGATGGGTACAGATGAGTGATTCAGAGATGATAGGAATAAATTATAGTGTTCAAAAAAAAAGTCTGATGAAATAAGCATGCATTTGGTCAAATTAAAAAATGCAACTATTTCTACTTCTTCTACATTGCATTTACAACTTTCAATAAGAAATGGAATAAATTGTTCTAGAAGACTGCTTTTGGAATATAGAATATCTCGTTCTTTCAAAATAAAAAAAAAGTCTGAAATCTCCTCATCATTTTTATCTTTCATATTCTCCTCTAAACCATCAAATTTAAGTGACATCCGTTTCAATGATGGCCTATTTCCTTCATTTAAACGACTATCTTCAATACTTTGCCGTCTTCCTCTGATATTTTCAATACTTTCTACACTCAATCTTCTAGTTACATCTTTATAAAGTTTGTTAAGAGAACTTGATTCTGCATGATTGGAGATTTTGGAACTCTTTTCCAATTTATCCAATAGTTTCGATTGGAACTGAGCAATACAACCTATGCAATCAAGAATTTTCAACTTGTTTTTAGTGAGTATCAGGTGACGAAGTAATTTTGAAGCATTCTTTTCTGGAGTTAAGCTAACAGAATAAAAAACCTCCATGGTAGCTTTTATGACTGATTTATCATAAAAAATCATTTTGATCAAATTTTTATCGATAATTCTAAAAATATCATGACTATATTCCAATCTGTGCTCACCAAAAGAAATTACACTTAACGAGTTCACATATGTTTCAATATTCTTACTTAGTTCAACTTCATTTTTTGATTGAAACAATAGGTTTGTAGTGTGTGTAATTAGTTTCAGTGACGAACTTTCTCCTGTTGGCTTCCTTAGTTGTTTTAGAACATAAATACTTTCATATTCTCTAACTCCGTTATAAATATTTTCATATAGAGATTTTGCATCCAAATTAAGATATTGTAAAATAATTTCAAATGCTTTATTGTTGATAAATTCAAAAAGTATACCTTCTCGTTGACCAACTATTTCCTTGAAAATCGAAATAATAATCTCCGAATCCTTTGTAAAAACAAGACCTAAAATTTTCTGCATCGATTCTATAGAACCATGAATTTTAAACAAATATGATATTTTTATAAATGTTGCAATTTCTTGTACATCAGTTTTGGTATTATAATCCAACAATCTTGTGATTTTTTCAAGAGCCAACTCCATTAATTCGACAAACTCTCTGAAATCATCGGTAATACATTGATTCCCTAACAAAGAGGAACATATACTTTTTTCCATACTATTAATATTTGATAAATTTTCTGATATATCAATCTTTAAAAACTTGGAGCATTTTATATCAGTGTCATACTTCTGCTCGAGAACTACTACTTCTTGCCTTTCTAAAAATTTCTTGTTTTTAAATGGATGATTTAATAGTATTTGGCTTAAAATTCCTATAGATTTCTTCCTAACAATCACTGTCTTATCTGTTATTCTTTCAATAATTCCTTTAATCACGAAATTTCTCTGATTATTCAAAATTGCTGCATTTTTAAATAAGTTGCTAAGACAAGTGATTGCATGAGATCTTACAAAGTAGCTGGTATCAGATAATCTTTCAACAACCAATTGGGTTAAATTATCAATATTTTCTAAATTAGTAACTTCTTTAAATTCCAATATTAATTTTTCAAAAATGTCAATTAGGCAATTTCTTAAATTATAATTTTCCTGCTCAAACAAAATTAAAAAGTTATTGTAATTGATGAAGTATTTTGAACTTAATTTAGGAAGAATATTTGAAAAATTTTTTATCACTGTTTGGTTTTCAATTTTAATACCTTCCCTAATAAAATCATCAGTATTAGTATCATCCAAAAGTGATAGGATGACATCGGATGTATTCTGCTTATAAAGTAGATTGACAACGCTTTTTATATTAAAAGAATAAGATTTTAAATAATCCATAACCAAAAGCCTATAATTTTCAGAAATTCTTTTGGAATACTCAAGAATGTAAAATAGAATCCCAACCATTTCGGAATTGTTTTTTAAAGATCTCAAAAGTGTATCAATGATCAAATTGACATTACATTTCTCATTGGAAAATATATCTGTAAGATACCTGTGAATATTTGGAATCAGTTGATTATCTGAATTAGAAATAATATTCGCCAAAATAGTTTGATAATTGTCTTCATTCAAATTCATATAAATATCTTCTATATTTCTCCCAAGAGATTTCGAGACTTTTTTAGAAAGTATTGGCTTTGGCATTTTAACGGTAAAAAAATGAAGAAAAGCAAATTTTATAAAAATAAAATGTAAGCTTAACATATTCATTTTTAACTGCTTTATGCAGATGAAATAGCTTTAAAAATTTTTTATATAATTTTCATATTAGAAGGATAATGAAATCTTTCATGTATTGCTTTCTTATAGTTGTATACATTAATTTAACCGGAATAGCATTCTATAATAAAAAATATATGCCAATGCATCCTATATAGTTATGTATATAATTGATAGTTAGAATATCAATATATCCATGACAACCTAAGCATCACCTTCTAAAAAATCTTAATATCATAATAGGTGAGCAATATAGAAAATCATAAAATATGAATATCGAGATCTCTTCTCCTTTACAACTGGTTTCAACACATATAATTTATTTTAATTAAACTCATCATCTTCATCAACACCATTCACTTCATCGGCATACATTCTCACTATTTGTGAACTCGATGTAGCATCTTTTGGGCCTTTATCTTCTCTTTCTCTAATAAATCGTGGAAATCTAAGCGAAATACCTTTACCATCGATCATCCCAGCAGAATAAAGTGGACTCAAACTCAATGATGCTGCTTTGACTTCCCAAACTATTACAGGCTTAACCCACACATCAGGAGTAATGGTCGATTCTATTTCAGAATTATCTATTGCAGTTACCAATTTGTTATAAAAATTCATCAAATTCTCATCGGAGAATCCAGTTCCAATCTTGCAAATAGCTTCATATTTTTCAGTTTCATCATTAAAAACAGCCAAAAGAAATCCCCCATACATCCCTGTGCGTTTTCCTTTACCATAGAATGCACCTATCACCACTAAATCAATAGTATCGCCCAGATTATCCAAATAGTCTTTTTTTAGCTTGACCCAGCTGTTAGATCTATGGGAAGGCTTATACAAACATTCTAATGATTTCAACATTAATCCCTCACAACAGCTTTCTATTGATGATTTGAATATTGAATCAATATCGTCCAAAGATTTACAGATTTCGTATTTTGCAAATTGAAATCTACCTGGAATTTCCACAAAATTTTCAAATAATATAACCCTTCGTTCCTGAAGTGTCAAATCCAATAACTCCCTACCATCAAAAAATAAAATATCAAAAATGAAAACACATACTTGTACCTCAATTTTGTCAATGTTCTTTCTCTTTCGAGTACTTAACAATTGAAATGGTTGAATTTTTCCATCAGAGAATGCAACAGCCTCTCCATCTAAAATAAATGATTTTTCAGATAGCTTCAATTCGACAATATCTGGAAACTTTATGCTAATATCTTCAATATTCCGACTGAATATTTTAGTATTTGTAAACTCTGAATTTATGGATCTATTAGTCATATCATTAATTTGTTTGGTAGCTGTAGTTTTTGAGTTACTTTTATTAAAGGAAAATAGACTTGGCTTATCTATGGATAATTTTTCATCAACTATCTTATCTGTATGATTATTATCTATTTCGATAGACCCAACTTCTATATTCTTTAATCCATCCATATCTTCTGCTGTGGAAATTTTACCGGAACTGTGAATTTGCACTCGTTCACCATCGTATTTATATTCGCTAATAAATTTACTTCCCTCAAATTTGGAAAATGCTTTTGTCAAATTATTTGTGGGAGTAGCTAACATTGGTTTTAGTGGAATTCCAGGCATAATCTTAGAATATTGTTCTAAATTTTCAATTCCAAATTTAAAAATCAATTTAATCAGGTTAGAAAAATCCGGATTTTTATTATAAGCAGATTTAACAATCTGGCAGTCCATGCAGTCAAATGCCTCCGATATAGAAATAAGAATAGTCTGTAGGGCCAAACCTATTTTTAGTTTGGTTTCAAAAAGTCGAATCAAATATTTAGTTTCCAATGGAGAAGCAACATTTATGAGACTCAGCATAATATTTCTCTTTAGATTAGTACTAGACCTTCCTGTTGAACGGGCAATTGCTTTCAATTTTTCAAAAACATCCCAGCATGTAAGATGAATTTTTACAATAATTAATTGAGCTACACGCCTTTCCATAGCAATTGTGCCCAAATCACCACTTTTTATTAGCGCAGATCTGACTGATTTAATAGACAAACCAGTTGCTTCACAAACTGTATTCTGAATAGTAAAATCTCCAATTCCTAATTCAATATTCGTGAATTGCGGATATACTGTGGCACTTGAAAGGAATAATATTGGAATCAACGACTCTTTGTCTCTCCTAATAACGGATTTGAGGAAATTACCTAAGCATTTCTGTATTTCTAATCTTTTTGTAGTATTTGCTATATTTTCTAGGACATTACAGAATTCTAAGAATTCAATTCTATTCGTAGATTCCATGGATAAAATTTAAAAAAATGTATAAATTTAGAATTATTACAACAAAATACTAATGCTAACATAATGAGAAAAGAAATTTTATATGAAAATATGGATTAAAATTTTAGGTTTTACAATTGAAATATATCGTCGAAGAATCACAATATATACGACTAACTTTAATAAGAAATTTAAATTCAAATCCATCGAATTGTGAAGTTAGTGTCAAAGATCAGTTAAATCAATTTGAACCCAATGCTATTTAACTTTCAAAAATTTGAATAACAAATTCATGGTACCAAAAATTATAAGCATTAATTTTTATTAAATAACTAACTAATTATAAAA